ATTATGTATATATATATATTCTATATATATATATATATATATATATTATTATTATTATTATTATTATGTATATATATATATATATATATTATAATAATATAAACATATACTATTTTATAACTTTTTTTTAACATATTTATATTAATATTTATATATATATCTTCAAATGTTGTGCCTATCATCGCCATTTTGGGGTTTTCTTTTATTGACAGCACTAATTGATCCCCTCAGTGGACAGCTCCACAAACGCAACGAATGAAGATGACCAGGAAGCAAACGAATTACTACCCGAACAGCGACCGAAAAACTACGAAAACATGACTGTGGTATGCTATTTGTACACCTTTATTTATTATCGTTTTGTCTGCACTGGCGAAGCTGGATGTATCTCCTTGCACGTAGTTTTGTGTATACGCACATTTCTACCTCGGTTTACCATGTTTATGTTTTGACACACATATGGGAATAACCGCCCAGAATGCAATGTAGCATCATGTACATACACTCAAGTATACACCAATACACGCTTGTGAGTATCGCAATAGTTTGGCACCTTTGTATCTCACTATCACCATGATGCAACCTTGATGTGTTTTTACCTAACACACACACGCGCATATATATATATGTGTGTGTGTGTGCTTGTGCTTGTGCTTGTGCTTGTGTGTGTCCATATATATATATATATGTGTGTGTGTGTGTGTGTGTGTGTGCATATGTATGTACATAAACGTATACATTTCTATATATGTCAGTGTGCCTCAATGTATATGGATTTGTATATGACGATTGATTTTACATTTTGAACGTTCATAGTAGTTTCTAATGAAACACCCCACTTTTAAAATCTTCCAGAACGAGAGAAAGAGGTACAAAAATAATTTGGCTTCCAGAATTTCACGAGCGAGAAAACGAACAGACCACAATAAGTTATTGCAAGAGAATCATAGCCTAAAAAAAGAGAATAGTCTGTTGAAAGCCGAGTCGCAGGTAGGTCGAAGTTTCATTCACAAACAGCCAATCATTTATTTTTCGTTGAGCTGTGCTGCTTCTTTTTTGTCAAGTCAATTTGTGAACTTCGTAGCTTCAACGTATGTTAGGAGGTGAACTGCGATAGATTGTCACCAAGACTATTGACCGCCGCTTAGTCCATTTTTCACGGGCGCCATCGCACGGACTGCTACTTTGTTAATTTCGTCAAAATACGCCCACAACTTCTTTTTTGCAGTATCTCCGCAGTATCATTCAAGTCGGTCGTGCCGCTCCGATACCCAATTTCGACTACCTACGGTTCGATTCGTGTAATTGTGGTTCTGGACAGACCAAATCGGCCGCATCACCGTTTGCGCAGCAATCGGCAGTGTGCGGTGCATTACCTCGTCCTTCCGTAACAGCAGCGCCCATGAATAGGACTTCATGCTGCGGCTCTTCGCAACCGCCCGCCGTCGCACCTATTGCACCAAAACCACCTGTACAAATAAGATCTGGCAGCGGCTTTTGTTGTAGTAGTAAAAGTATTAGCCACGCTTCCGTAGTAGCACCTGTGGGTCAAATGCCAATTGCTCAAATCCCGATCGAGGGATTGCAGGCATCTACAACCACAGGTGAATCCCACTTGTTGCCAGTGCAATCCGGGGTTACATCCTTGCAGCACAGCGCTATGGTCCGGCCACAATATTCGACTGGATCTCTACATATTCAACCCGAATTGTGCCATCAGCATCAGATACCTCAACCAGGCCATACACTTCACCCTAATCAAATTGCACATCAACAATATCTTCCCCAGCAGCAGTTGGGTGCACACCCTGCCCACTCACAATCGCCTGAAGTTGTTCATCTGCAAGCCCATCAGACCAACCACAATTCACCACAGCACTCACATATTAATGTCCAACCGAATTTGCAGATGAATAGCCAACAAAATGTGCACCTCCATGCACCACCTAGCTTAGGACTTCCTTCACCACACAATATTGATAGTGGCTCCACACAGAGTATGCACCGTAGCCCAGTGAATTCTCAACAGCATGTCCATCCCAGTATGCAACAAGGCAAATACAATAATCATCAGCAAATACACAATCATAATGCGCAGCATACAAATTCTCTACAGGGTTCGCAAAACGATCTTACCCAAATGTATAAAGGACATGGTAACTTTCTGTACACATCGCCAAATGCTGCCTTGCAACTCATTCCCGGCTCAAATACGGCCTCTCATATGAATGGCAATTCTAGCATCGGCTTGCAGAACACCCCGTTGATGAGTGGTGGCGTCGATGTGCATATGCGGACAAAACTTACGCCCTTTGAACAGACGTTACCAGCATCAGCGAGTGTCGGGGACGAAGCCATCTCATAAAATATGTAAAATAATTAATCAGCGTTCTTTCTTCAGCTCTCTTTCTTTGACCTGATTGTTTAGATTAAGCATTGACTTATCATTTCATTACAATTATTTTTGCGACGACTCTGATCCTAATTGCTATCTGATGATGAGGACAGTGGCTAGCGATTCTACTTCAAAAGCAATGTTATTTATACGGTCAGAGCATGCCAAATAACAAATTGTGAACGACAAATAAGGGTTGAGGCCAGTCAACCAATGGATGCCAACTTTAAACACGTACTGATTGTTCGTACTGAAATGCCGATACTTTATGTGCTGAGTAGGTCTAGATAGGGACAGGATGGCAAACATTGTAGTTGTGCGCATCATCATATCTGCCTCTTCCATAGTAGCCGACGTAAAATCAACTCTAGAAAAATGCTGAATGTGGTAGTTCATCACAAAATTGCATATACTGGCCCTCCAGCACGTCCTCATTGTTCGTAGCGATTTACAGGAGCATAGCACCGCTATACTTGCTCTACAACATATTGCAAAGTGTACATAGGATTGCAAACACCTCCGCGACACTATTAAGCGGTTACAAACTCATGCGGCCACGAAGGCTAGACCTGAATGATGGACTACCAGTAGGCGCAATCTATCTGGACAGCTTCGTCATATATTTAGAATGTTACACAATAGTCAGTGTCGAGACTGCCCAAAGTCCGATACATAGCTCTTATCCTCCTGTAAACATATATAATTTATCTCTCACGATTCAGAAGATATTTCGACAAGAGATTTTGAGGTGATATTTGACCCACGTTGCTGAACTCGAAGAATGTTGAACACTCAGTTCTTAGTGCGCAATAATAGCAGGAGGCTGCTTCACACGAAAATTGACAGCAATCACCTCCAAAAACGGTAAATAGTAAATCAATTCATAGTATTTGCGTTTTATTCGGAGACGTGCTAGGGGTTTGATGATTCCACACGTTAGTAGAGCACATATGCCGGTCGTGCACCTCTCAGGAGTCATCGGTGGCGGCCTATCATCAGGCCATTTGGATCAAACAGGATTGGATTCTGAGCGTGCGGGTGAGGTTGCGTGGCTCTTTTCGGTTTCGCCTAGCCAGAATCAATCTGTACTTGAGCTATTTCGATTTTTATGCCAATAATATACTGAGACCTTATCTCCCGTATCTGTTGGTAAAACGTATAAACGATTTAGTGTATTCGAAGTGACAAGGTACCCGCCAATATAGTATAGGCATAGCAATTTCCTGAACTGAGCAGCGTCGTTATTCTACGCAAATAATGACCACAAACACATGCGCTTATATGGCGGACTCTGTGCATATTTTGAGAGGGGAGGGGATAGGCGATAACGGTATATACGAAACATAATCTTTACAGATGAAATAGAAATGAGATGTTGTGCGCAATCTAGAGCCTTTTGAAAAATATACGTTATGCACGCAAATGTTGCAGGTGTTTAGGCACGCCAAAAGAAACGTTAATTGCCAAACTTAGCAAGCACTTGTATGTTGGTTTATGGCCGGCTCGCACTACTATACAACCACCGCATTGGAAATTTCGGAGTGTGAGAACCAATGCCCCGCCCCCACCCCCCCCAAAAAAAATGAAGGATGAAACATACTTTTGGAATCCCCACTCACGATTATCCAGTGGGCAGACCTTCCTCGTTTGTAGCCATCGTGATATGCAGTGGAAATGGAACGCATGCTATACAGGAGAAGAACGAATTAATTATTGAATATAAACCAAGGTGGTGGCAGAGTGACAACAGTGCAGTCTCATATTAAATTAGAAAACAAACGAGGTATACAGGCAGGTAACTTACATTGCATGTGCCCCAGGCAACTGTGCACTCCTCAGTTGTCAGTGACTGTTGATTTGCCTGACATTCAATACAGAGTTCCATGATATGGTTACGACAGATAGCGCAATTGTCTACAACAATATCTGCAAATTGAAAGTGAGATTAGCACATGGTTTAGATCTCCCAGATATTCGTGTGCGTTACAGATATGCGCAAAATGCTGCGACATGAATGTTGAACTAAGATCCAGCCATGATCATAATAATGAATATAATATATATATATATATATATATATATATATATATATATATATATATATATATATATATGTCGCATACATACATACATACATAAATACATACATATAGTGGGATCCTC